TTCACGCTTTATGTATGAAGAATGCTTTCATATATTTATCAATGTTCCACTTTACTTCAACCTTCAACCATTATGCTATTTTCTATTTGACTAATCATTTACTATTGCGATAGACAATTTGTTGTATCTCTACCATAACAGGTCAATTAGTTAGATTTGTATGCACGGCCACAGCTTCAGTTATTCAATTCCAGTGTAAACTGACACACGACATCGTTATTACAAGAACGTCTACGTACAATTATGTAAACTGTGTATACCGTAAAGCAGATCACAGCGACTCAAAATGCATTATAGTAACGCCTTTATAACAGAATTTAAATTAGATGATTTTAATAATTGCTATGATGATTAATTAAATTCCGCTCATGGGCTATAGAAAATGGGAACTAGGGCCTTCATATGACAACGACTCTATAGCTCTCGTCGTGTGGTTTTTTGCCCCTTCGCCATCTTGAAATTTTCAAGTATTCTTTGCTAATAATTAATATATTCAGGCGTTACTTTGCCAAAACGTATGTTAATGAAAGGAAGGTGGATATCATTGAAAAAATATACAACACAAGCGTAACTATTTTGCACGGTTTACCTTCTTGGGGAGTAGCAAATTAATTTACTTCTACGTGTTAAATAAAAAATAGCATAATGGCAAGATAATAGCATGACGTCTCGATGTCATTTACTGTCTTCATCGACTTTAATGTTGTTGTTTCTATGTTCTATGTTTATTCGGACAGATTCCCCGTTTATTATAACTCATATCCGATATGCGAAAAGATTTTTCACTGGCAAGTCATATGGGTTAGAATATAGTTTAGAACCAATTTCATTTGTACACTTTTTAAGATTCTAGTGTGACCATTTGAGCTGTTAAGAAGGAATGTATTCGCCTTAAAATTTACACAGTCATAAGTACTGTAATCGTACTGTAATAAAAGTTTTTTTACTTCAAACATAATATTTGTTTTATGTCAATGTATCCATTATATCGATCTCTTCGAGTCTTAGTTTGTCGTATGTCCACGAACATCCCAGCTATAATTGTTTAAACCAGAGTTGGGCTAGCGCCCTAGTTTTAACCCGGCGCTTTATTAATGCTAATCTTAAATCGGGTCGCTAGGATTAAATCGAATTAAAGCCTATTATCGCCCAAAGTCGAGGGCAAAAACTATTTACAGCTGAATATTGTTTTTTTTTAAGTTATTGAATGTCACTATGTTTGACCACTGTGATATTCAATTATTTTTGTGAAATTACCCCACTAGTTTGTTATAATTATTATTACGACAGACAGGCGCAAAGTTACCTGTCGGTGTCGGCTTTCTACATAATATATTTCGGTGAGTGTGCTCTTGAGCTCCAACAGCTAATCTCGCCTGCCCTCTTTTACCATCGGAGATTCAGACGTACGGCGGGATATCACCCTTACTTGATTGAGGTTCCCTTCAGACGTACTAACTAATTTTTCATCATCTTTTAATAAGCGCACAAACCAGGAATGGAATTCCATACCTGCCACTGTGTTTCCGAGAACAAACAACTCGAGTGTCGGGGTGCGACTGAATAGGCATTTTCAGGGCGAGCTGTGCCAGCGTAGATCCTATCTTTGCTCTAGAGCTAGATAAATTTTGAGGAACATTTTCCTTAATTTTTTTTATATAATCACAAATTACATACATAATTAAGTTAATCAATACATAACAACAAATACAAGTCGTTTAAACATTTTATAAATAGCGACGGCTCTTACCTATGTAGCGGCCCGTACAATCAATACCCTGGCGCCCTCTAATATGCACGCGATCAAAAGGGAATACTTACAGTTTCTTCCCCAGCGATCAGAAATTCGGGTGCTAATAGTGAAATTGTAAATGATGTTGGGAAACAATAGCTCGTTTACTTCGCTTGCGCTGCTAGAGACGCAAGGCTCGTTGGAGGCTTCGTGAACGACGCCCGGCGCCACTTAAGGTTGCTAACAAAATTGACTACATGTTTGCAGTTAATGCGTGAATTCGTAACTCAAATTCATGCAGTCACGGTCTCGGATTACGACTTCACGCATTAACTGCATGCAGTTGAAACCGACTTTTCAACTTTCAGTTGAAGCCGTTAATTTCATGCAGTTGTGGTCTCGGCTGTATGAAGTTGATTATGAGTTCACGCATTAACTGCAAATATGCAATCAAACTGTTAGCAGCCTAAGACCCTGCGCTCTCCACCTTAGATAAAACTGTACAAACGTTTAAAAGTTCTAAAAGAGCATGCGACTGCTCGAAATGTTGTCGTTGATTTTAAGGAATTATATTTCTTTTCCTAGCGTGATTCGATGATATCTGGAAGCGAAGTTTAACAAAGAACACCCTTTGCTTAATATATAAATCATGGTCATTACTGAATAAATGAGTGCGTACGCGTTACGTAATTATTTAATAACATACGATGGGAATCTGTCCGAATATTGCGTTATTTGGTGATTGTCATAATTCCGAGCTTTTATCTACTTGTTGTCAACGTTTTATTATTATAAGTGGCGATATTTTTCGGTAAAAATCACTCGACAAAATTATATTTTTAACGACGTCTTTATTTCTATCTATTTACGGATTAAGGAGATAACGAATCTACGAAAACAATGGCATTTTTCCCCATATAAATGTATGGAGAAATTATTTATTACTTAAGTTATTAGTTTCGTGGATAACACAGGAGTTTACTAAGGGCTTTCAAAGTCTGTGAAACAGAATTTATTTTTTACACCCTCAGCATCGTTTCAAAAATGTTTCTTTAAAAATATTGTCTTTATCATTTTGAAATTTAGGTGTGCAACTTTGTGTACGAGCTTGTAATTGAATAAGAAATGTGCTCTAACCCTATTTGTATAAGATTTATTTTCAATTGTAGTACGAATTTGTCCGACAACACTTTACCTTTAATACAATTTCTTAAAAATATAATACGTATGACGTTAGTTATTTTAAAGGAAATATACTTTCAAGGAAATGAGAATGCTACCGTAGTGTTAAAATACGAATTTTGTATGAATAATATCAAGTGTCTAGAACACCTACATTTACACTGTTTACTACACATATCTCCTTCAAGAAATGCAGTTATTAAAAATTTAGACTAGAGCTCCGAGTATAAAAATCACCGAATACGCAAAACTAGATGTGTCGCTAACGCTGCACCACAGGTGCTGTCTGACAGCGATACGGGCGCAGCCCGATTCGCCGTGCGGCCAGTGCAGGAGGAGGACGAGCACACCTCCCAGCCCTCCGAAGTAAGCACTTCCAATAGAACACTGCCTTAATGCTTTGGCAATTTGGATGAACGTTAAACTGGCGATTATCACGCTATTTACGTAGTTACGTAGTTTTATCCTCGTGGAAGTGCGTCTTTGCGTTTCTTAGACACAAATATGTGCTGCTTTGCACTTTTCCCTTGAAATTGTGGCATTTGTAGATGCATCAATGTCACAATTTCACATTCACAGCGTGATGTTGACGGTTGGCGATTTGTCCGGACCTATATATATCTTTGGGTGCTTATTTTACCGTTATCAATAGAAACAAACGAGTGCGCTCCTGGTGTTGCTTCTTTAGAAATACTTCTTCTAGTTGATAGTAATCGTTGGCTGTTGAAAATGTATCTAAAATTGTTTAAACAGTCCTCTGCAAGGGTCCTGTTTACTTTACTTTACTACTAACGTTTTCAGAAAAATACTATAATCTCACTCACAGAACAATCTTAGCAATACGTAATAACAATAGCCATACGTAACTATGTCGATGGTACACACATAACCCTATATGCTTTGCTTCCATGCAACGTACACTTGCTCGTTTCGTAAATCAGGATGATAAGTGTCACGTCCAGCGCTATACGCGATACCTAAATGGCAACGAAATCACATCCAGTAAAGTCATCAAAATAAATTCATTGTAAACATAAGTTTACCTTGGGATGGAACTGGTATCTATTATTAGAATATCATTTATTTCCAAAGATATTTAACTGTAGTCATTGACTTACAATTATATGGACGTCGGGTCCGCGCTAAAAAGTGTCCGAACTTATGGGGCGTTAAAATCGTATACAGAGCATCATTCACGCTTTAGTCTTCGTTTGTTCGACTGACAGCGACAGCGAAGCAAGCAAAATTAGACAGTACTGCGATGACATTACAATTTAAATTCAAAGTTTTAGCTTTTTCATATTCCTTTACATGTGACTACGTTTAAATGGGTTGACTTGGGACATTTTTTTCGTAGTTTTTGTATTAGACCCGTCGTCCATTTATTTGTAAGTCAATGACTGTAGTCATTAATTAGTTCTATTGAGTTTCTAATAGCATTTTATGCAATCGTTGCTTAATGAGGGTTGTTAAAGTTGAGTGCCGTGTTTGGCAACAAGGCTTAGCCGAGTGGCCTAAGTAATAAGTACGAGATTTTAAAAACTAATTATGTAATGATTGCAAACGATACTTCTTTACGAGTAAATAAAATAATTTAACACAACCAAATATTCAATGTATATTTTATTAACAATCCGTGACAACAAAACGGAAGTCAAATGTTGAAAAACAAAAACTAAAGAGATAGAATAGAAGTGGCCAAATACCGCTTATATTTTAACTTAACCAATCTTTTTATAAAGGTTTATGACTCGGTTGCACGATTTAAGCCAATTTAACCAATCAGGAGGCAGTAGAGCGTTTCAAGAGCGTGATATTTGATATTTTAATTAACACAAAGACGACATTCTTTTTTTGAGACTCATTATGGTTCTGTGTACAGAACTTTTAGTTTTTCGGTTCAATAGCGAGTATAAGCAATAGAATTTTGATTCAGAACTAAAAAGAGCGCCTTTGTGATATTATGAAATTACAGTTAACAACAGGAGTAGAAAAACATATTAAAAGAAGCTTGCTGGAAAGATGGGTGTAAAAGAAACATGTTCTTCCGGAAAGTTAACATAACTTACATTAGAGAAGAATGAAATTGCGAGTATTTGACTTGTAGGGTAACAATTATTTGTTAATATCATGCAAAATAAATGCTCATAATATCGATATTACAAGAAACAAAAAAAAACAATTTTATCAAATTATGTAGTTGGGTTACATTTTTTATTTTTCCTGTGTAATCGACTGTACTTAAAAAAATAGAAATATAGTTATTCGCCAAAACAGATTCTTTTTATGATATTTAGCGACGGGACGAACAAGTAGAGCTCCTGGTTGTAAGTGACGCGCCTATCCATGACAGTTGCAGTGCCACTCAGAGCATTAAATCGCAAAGATCTGAGGGGTATAGCCACTGTACCCGTCCATTATTAAAAATTATTATTTATATATAGAAAAAATACAGAAAACTAGTAATAGCAGTAAATACTGATTCTCGAGTGGCGACCGCGTACCCCAAAACGCAGCGTGGACAAAACACCCACGAGGTGGACCGATGACCTGATAAAGCTTGTGGGAATCCTTAGGAGTTTGTTTTCGTTGCTACAAACATAGAAATCTGTTATTTGTACTTGCTTTGGTTCCCACGAGACAGGCGGCGTAGCCTCATATTATTACGATGGACGTAGGTGATAGAGTGAAATGGGTTACTCTAAACTAGAAACATAATTTATTGGTCTTCAAAATATAAGTGACAAAATAATTGAAATTAAAATAAAACGTAAATTTAATTAGTATTACTATCCATGCAATACGCGTCACAATGTCGCAGTTAGACTATAAGTATAGTCTACCTATAATACAGCCTAATGTTTAAATCATGTTTAATATGTTAAATAAATAAATGTGCTACGACGATTTCACGCCGACCACGCCACCACCGTTACCGCTCGAAAAACCATAAAGATGCCACACAGACGTTGCGCCGGCGTTGTGCTTCATTTAAATGAGAACGACACGAAAGAAGTTGCTTGTGGTTGAAATATGGAATGGGAAGATATTAAAGTACAGATATATAGAAGAAAACGCTTTTTAGATATGACTTATTTGAAACAATGAATGATAAATTTCAAATCTATGACTCTAGCTGAGTTTGCACTTCTCTTATTATCATTTCAAACGACATTATAACATGATACTATTCCAGAGGAATCACATTATTATAAGTACATAAAGTATTTTTTCAACTATTGTACGTGAATTATATCGTTACAAACTGACATAAAAAAGAGCAGTTGAAAGACTAAAATAATAGAGTTATTTGAACGTTCAGCTGAACGCCCCGCAGCTGCGAAATTGCAGTCTAAGACGCCGACGACTTTCCGATCGGCACACGTATCTAGAACCACCATTACACGTTCTAAAAGATACGTATTGTAACCTTTATCTGCTGTCGTAAGAACTATTCAGGTACTTAAAAAAGATCTTCATATTCTACTTTATTTAACATAAATAGCGTAATCCACAAAACGACGCCATAAGTAAGTATAATAAAACGTCACACATACAGCCAGGCTTGCATATTCGCACGAACGGCAGTTTTTACGCGCTTAAAATATCACTGCGCTTTACAGCTCACTTTATTGCCACTTCCATTAAAGGCAATGATTGTACAGATTTTAGACACTAAAAACCTAACCCTGGGGTAATAAAGCCACACCTACAACTACAACTTTTCAGGAGAGAGGTTTAAAGATTCTACGAACGAAATTACTCGATGCCTTTTTTGTACTGTAGCAAAGTTATAAGATTTCACATATACTTACATAATTCATAAAATTCGTATTATTTTTGTGACTTTCACGTGATAAAAGCACTTTTGATATATGATCACATGTGGCTTTATTATACTAACGGGTTATATTTTTTATTTACCATGTTTGATTATTTTTCGTTAGTAATTCTGTTACGTTCATGATTAATGAAATTTTGCTGATTTAAAATTAGAAAAGATCAAAAAAGGAGAAAATACTAGCTACAGTGTTAGTATACAATTTCCATCGAATGTTACATTTTTTTTTCATGATTTTCATTTATAGGCAAATAAAATAAATCTTGAAGAACTCTGACATGAAGAAAACACTCGGCCTTCGTACTACAACTTAAAAAGGACATATTCACTTTGGCCACTGTGTTTTAATAAAAAAAATCTGTCGTGACGAGTCGGTGAAGACATTTTATAATATAATACTAAAGTGCTGACGAATAATACAAGAAAAGCATTAGTATTTACCATTTTGAACCTTTCATTTCGTGATTTCATGTTTAATTTAATAACTAAATTACTTAAATCTTAAGCCAGAAATAAGTATAAAATAAGACATGAAAAAAGGTTACAAGTTCTTTGAGTATATCAAAATAATAAAAAAATTATTAAAAGCGAAAATTTTTCCATTAATTTTGTTGGGTAAAGTTTCTCCGAGAGCCACACAAGTATACAAGATAAGTAGTACAACTTAATACAAACATAGCAGCGCGGTTTGTAGGTGTGCGGATCCCCGCTGCGCTCTGTGTACGGACACACACATTCACATATACTCGCAGAGACCTCGAGTTGCTGAGCGCGTGCTGTCACACACATCATTGATTATAGAATTGAAACGTTAACTTAAAAATTACATCAAATAGTACCCAAATTTTCTTGTGTTTACGACTGTTTGAACAAGAATGCCGCAAATTCAGAATTGTTCAACATTTCATTTCAATTTCATAATCATAAACCTATAATTGACATACCGATCCTCGATACTAGTATAAAAGTAGCTGGTATAAAAACAGCTCAACTTCTAGTCGACCTTCATGAAGGATGATTTTAGGCCGAAGTTTCAAGGGCCGGCTATCAGACACCCACATTGCGTAACACGTCGCAGACTATACGTGTAAATAATAAATAGTCATTAGTGTTTTATTACATTATTATGTATATTATGTATGTTAGTCTATAAGGTATGTATTTATGGGTCTTTGTAAAAAAAAATATGTAAGTACTGCATTTGACAAAGGCTAAAGTTAAAAAAAATACGGTATTTATCACAGAATTTTCGTGCTATTTCAATTTTTTTTTTTCAAATTATGTTTTCGACCTCTAGGTACAACTAACATAATAATGTAACAACCCTACGCTCCGTGTGACGTGTAACCATTGACGCGCTAAACAGGCCAGAGTTGCACTACTTGTCTTATACTATGATAAAACTGTCAATAAAATTTGTTACTATTTTTCAGTTTCTAACATACATGATGTTTTTTTAGTCAGTACCGAAAAATTGCACCTCAAATATAATTTCACCACTGGGCGCTATCTTTTCTCTTCTTGCATGTGCTGTGTTTGGAATAAGCTGGATTTTCAATGTTGTAAACTCTGCACCAATTTCACAGATTCCAATAATGTCATTCGTATTTTTTGTCAGGATGAGCTACCACAGTCGGGACCGGAAGGTGCCGAAGCGAAAGAACCAGAGGCTGATTCGATCTCAACGTCTTCTGGAGGCAGTGATGCCGGTCCCGACGTCACAGTGTTGAGGGCCCAACCACCCGTCACTCCTGCACGGCAGAAATCTTCTGATAGCAATAGGACTGAGCCGAGTGATGAGAAGAAAGGTATAGTATATTTTCTAGTTGGGTCATGTTGATAAATGTAAGCCGTTTGAGACCCATACAAAGATCTGCAACAAGCACACAGAGAAATTTGTAAAATCTACTGACTCGGTATGTGGCTCAGTTGGTAAAAACGGTGGCCCTGGTTTGGCAAGAAACGCTAGTTCGAGTCCAGTGAGATCGAATGAATTTTTCTTTGTGTTGTTCGATCTGTGTATCAATAATAATAACAAACTAGATATTGTCATTGTAATATTAAAAACATTATATTCAATAAAATAAATCGTATAGTAAACTATATTACTAACGTTCATTTTGAGGCTTAAAACTCCCATTTGTAATAAATATTTAAAAAAGCCCTTAAGAGATTCCATTTTCGACCTTAAGTTAAGTTTTCTGGTATGAAATATGATGCAATTTTACAGATAGGAACTTATACCCTGCTCTTTTTGTAATAATTTATCTCAATATTGAATTACCTTCGGTGTACATCCCAGTGCCATCAACAACGGATGACGCATTCCTCCCCGAAATACGTGACATGCCATCAGACATTCAAAGTCGACCCCGCACTACCTCCGCTGGCACCAGACGAACGGCAAACACAAGACGGTACGTACTATTGAACTTTTTAAACGTACAAATACAATACAATGGGACAATGCAAACATGGCTGTCGCAATTAGAAGCACTTTTATAAGGGTCACATAGTAAATTATTTAAGGTATTCTCTAATTGATACTTGTGAAAAGTATTTCTCAATCAACAGAAAGCATGATATCAGATATCGCAAGAACAAAGATTAAATCCAAGTTACCTAAATATTTGTTGCACATAAAGTTTGTTTGATGTGAATAAAACATGCACGTCAAAAGTCAAATTATGACAATTAACTAACACATCTTGAAAAAATGTTAATAAATTTACAAATAAACAGTAACTCAGTAGTTGTTTAAAAACAGGAAAAGATATTTAACATTTTATCATATTTGATTGGTTATAAATTTATGACACACAAATTATAAAATAATTTTGGGAATCACTTGATTTATTTTTTAATTTTTAGTTAATGAATGTAAATGTCCAAGTAATTTAAACTTTTAAATCATTTGGACAAATTTTGAAACAATATTTGAACTTAGATGAACAATGACATGTTGCTTTTTATTAGTCAAGACGCGTTACCACTAGCATTACTTCAAATTTTTGGAAATTGACTACAGTAAAGGCAATACAAGAGAATATTTTATTGTCGTATCTTTAGAGAATCATCACAGTTATCGACACAGAAACACATTAAGCTAGAAAAAGCTGTAAGAGCGAAATCGGCTTGAATGACCCGGCTCAATACAGGTTGTCAACGCATCTAGTTCGTGCATATTTCCGATCCCATCCATACGCAGCCGAAGATGTCTCATCGCGGGCGTCGACGCCCAAAGTGCCGAGTCGATGGCCGAACGAAGTTGCGATGGCACATTTCATCCCCCCGATCCGAGATGATGGCTGAACTGAAATCGCCTTAAGTCGATTCGGCGTCGATAAGTGTGATAGATAACTCCTTTAACCTCGCGAACTCAATAATTTTTGCCCTTGAATTCTTACAGAAGCAGTCCGTATATAGAGAAATTTCTAGGAAATGATAATCCACTATATAAAATTAGTGGTTTGTCTGTAAAGCGAAGACCTTACTTTAGTCAGTTTGCAATATTTGTTACAATAACGTCGGTGACAACACGAGTTTATCATTCAATGTCGGTTGTACCCATTAAACATTCTCAGAACTTAGCTCCTTTGGCTGTCGTTATTTCAAATTTTAGGTGTTAAAATTGCGTGGCTCAGTTCTTTAGCATGTCAGCTGATTCATTTGTTTTCGATCACTCATGTTCGGATACGAGTTGATTCTCATAATCGTTCACCTTCAATTGGGCAATGAATATGTTATATGAAATTTACCATCACCATGATTGTTTTAATTTTATTTTTTGTTACTTTCTTGCATCTGTTAGGAGACGGTTGTGGAAACAGTAAGTCTAATAGTCTCGTTTGGCGATTGGCTTTAGCTTATTTATTAGCATTGTAGTTTGTATATGTGGATCACACTTTTTGGATCAGGGCTACAAATGATGCTGTAAAGGGCATATAATCAGACACCTAATTTTGTTTCAAATAAATGACTTTTTAGGCTATAAGCATTATTAGGCTGCTATCAGAGTGACTGCAAGTTTACAGTTAACGCGTGAAGTCAATATTAATGCGTGAAGTAGAACTGCATACAATCGATCTCGACTTCATGAAGTTGATTTCGACTTTCACACATTAACTGCATGAAGTCGAAACCGGCTTCATGCAGTCGAGATCGACTTCATGCAGTTAGTGCGTGAAGTCATTATCAACTTCATGCAGTCGAGATCTCGGCTACATGACGTTGATTACGACTTCACGCATTAACTGCAAACATGCAGTCACTCTGTTAGCAGCCTTAGAATACCACCACACCACACATAGAATTGAAGTCATCGTCATTGTCCGCTCGATGGTTCAATTTTTTTTATGTATCCAATCCCGCAATTAATTTGTATTTTATGATTGTACTCCCGTAAACGAGATACTAATCCGCAATACGGGTATAAAAATATCAATAAGTAAGTACTGCATTTGACAAAGACCATTTGAATATAGCGTATTTTATTTGTAATTACAACTAAAATATTAAAGTGACAACCCTACGACGTATACGCGTTAACGCACCGAACAGGCGGGAATAAGACTACGTATTTACAAGTGTCCAATATCACTGCTATATAATGACTATATATCTTACCTTTAACAATGTTTTGTGATAGCTATTGTTTATAATTATGGTATCTGATTATAGGTGAGACATTTCACAACTCGAAATTACCGGTATTTTGTCTGTGATCCTGTCATTAGTAGCCCATCCTTTTATAGCCTACACACTCAAACACGCTCATATATATTTTAATATCTATCGTTACATCAATAAGCTTTTTTGCTCTTTTTTTATACTAAATTATTATAACAAACATTAATATTATTCACATATTGATTTGGTTCGTTTTAAAAACGTATTTTTGTTATATGTACGTAATGATAATGAAATATTTTTAATTAAATAAAACAAAAATTGTTATGAATTTAAACAAATTCCATTAAATATAACTACGTTTCTGGTATTAATACAATTACTTCAGAATTTCTATTTTACCTTTTTGTCTTTCTCTATTAACAATGTATTTGATGTAACATTTTAAACCGACATACAAATCCAAGGTAAGATTATCTTTTGATAACTTTTGAAAATAGTCGGCACGACACATTCACTGACTTTCAAGATAGTGTTATTGAATGTAGATACCTATTTTCACCTAAAAATACAATGGGCTCAATTTATGTGACCGCTGAACCGAATTTGTGTAACGAAATTGTACATAGCATAATGACATTTATGTCAATTGTGTAATTACTAGACGGTAGCGGAATTCCTGACACGGCGCTCAATTGTGTAATTACTAGACGGTAGCGGAATTCCTGACACGACGCGAGAATTCTCCGGAAGACACGCGACCTGTATTTTGGCTCGTATCTAGTTTATTCGTTACACATTTGACTTAAGCGACACACGGCAACTTTTAGCAGCGCGTCTGCAGCGATTCAGTCGCGATGCAGTAGCGATGATGTCACTAAGGCTCAACTCACATTGGCGCAGAGTCGAAGCGTCGCGTCGCGTCGACAACGACTCTGGCATTAGTGCGCCCGGTTCACAGTGTGGCCGGCGTCTGACGCCTCACTGCGCTCAAGTAACTACACATTGACGTATCTTGTTCCGTTGCACTGGAGGCGATTTTCGAACAAAAATGTGTAGTCTGTTGCGCTGTTGTTCGTACCTTAATCATGGGAAAATAGAGATGAATATGCTATAGGCGAAAAACATGACGCGTCGGCGTCGTGACGCTTCGACTCTGCGCTAGTGTGGGTTGAGCCTAATCATCTACCTTCACACACACGCGCGACTTTAAGCAGCGATGCAAACGCGATACTAACGCAATGCAAACGCGATCCACGTTTTTAAATTAAATTATTTATAATTTGTTGTAATTATTAATACAAAAATCGAACACCCAGAAAAAATTCCTTCGATTCGGCCGGATTGAACCGACATCTTCTAGCATACCGTGCTAGACGCTATACCAATTAAGTGGAACGAACCAGCGGACCTCACAAATTTTTGTATGTGCTTTGTCGTGTCTTTGTATTTAGTTTTTCAACTACTTTTTAGCCGTAGCGCCAACTATGAGAAATCTTATGAAAGTATTTCTTATAAACTTATTTATAATTTACTTCACTTTTAAATTTACAGCTAACAAAACAATTTGCATAAACCTGCACAGATTTTTCGCACATAATTCAACATAAGCGACTGAATCGATGCACGTTGCACGTTTGTATCGATGGATTGGCGTGTTTGTATCAATGCAATCGCCTATAAATCGTTAGAGTAGCGATGCAAAACGCGCGTTTGCATCGTTGCTAAAGGTCGCTGTGTATAACCGCTCTAAAGTTCATTGCTGTCTTCGTTACAAAAATTCGCTTCCACGCGTACCGAGGCAATGTAAATGGAATCATAAACGACAAATTCGTTTGTAGTAAATTAAATTTAATGATTTGTGTTTACCAGGCGCTCAGAAGGCGGTAACGAATGTGGCATGGGCAGTCACTATTCGACGCAGCATCTCGCGCCTCGCAGGCAACACAGTCAGACCCACTCCGAACCCGACAACTCAGCCGTGGATGCCAGCTCGCTTCACAATTCGCAAACTGGTGAGTGACGTACCATTTCCATGACGTCAAGAAATGAGTTGTTTTTATTTAGTTAGGTGTACCAACAGCATCGAGTATATAACCAGAAATAGAGACGAAATGTCATTTAATTCGTTTGAAAACTATTCTGCCATATCATTACTGTGACAACTGCGCTCCGATTGGCCAGCCCGAATTCGAAACAATTGACGGGTGTCGTCAATTGTTTCACTTCAATTCGACCAGTTAACTTGAGACTTTCTATAATGGACGAAAATTGCAAAATTACATATTTAAAAATCGACCCGTTAACTTGAACTTTGCTATATTGGACGAAAATTGCAAAATTACATATTTAATATTTAATTACCGGTGAAATTTGATTCCGTTTGTTTTGTAATTAAATGTTTTGCAGTTTTTCCCTACATCGGCGAATGGAGCAGCACGCCATTGTTAGAGATATTTTCTTTATTACAATAAATACAGAATATTTTTGGAATATACGGAGACGTACACACAGGTCAGCTGTTGGCGCTGTACTATTTCAGCTTTCTAAATTGTAATTTTATTGCAAACGAGAGTTGATATTTATAAGTGATGTATCACAGATGAGTTACCAGGAGTGTATAGCCCTTATTTCGTCTCTGTTTCTGGATATACTCGCTGACCAACAGCTATTACATTGTGAGTTATTTACTAGTTACATTTATTTGTGGTTTTATATTTAATGCACAGTTAATTACAGGTACAAACATCATGCAAAAAATGTCAAAATAAGCCTCTTTAGACCTACGTCTATGCAACAAAATGTTATTTAATTATTAATATTTTTTTAAAACAGGCAAATCTGCATATACGTCCAAATATTCACTATTTTAGTGTAAAATACAAATTGTGTATATATGTTGAACATTCAATTTGGTTCTTCGAAGAGATGGGCAAAGTGGTTGAATGTGATATCGGGGCTATCTACTATGGCACTCTAAATCTTATTTGGCTTAGTACGAGTAGAATCGGACAGTACCCCTTTTACACAGTCACTCTATCGTGCGTGAGCAGGTGCATAAATAATTAGATGAATTGGTAATTAAATTACAAATGAAATTTGTTTAAGAAAATTCCTATGTTTTCGATCAAAATATTATATTATAGTAACAACGAAAACTGGTACATTATAAATATGCACGCTAGTCGAATCAAACTTAGTACACTGTTATAATTATTACACATCAGCCAACAAACAGCATACTGTCAAACTATTAAATGATTATCTCATATCTGAAAGTAAATCCAATAAGGGCGAGTTGTACACGCTAAGAAATTCGTCGTGTCTGCTACAGAAAAGGTGAGAATGGTCTTGTACACGACAAGAAGAAGAAGAATGATGTAACCACGAAAACGTCGTGTCTGTTGCAGTCGAGAAAATGATGAGTATGTACATGATACGAATGCTTTCGGACAGACGTTTTTAGGTTAAATGTGCATTGCGAGTCTTCCAGGTAACTGTCGTTTTACTACCGTCTGTGGAAAGAAATATGTTGTTGTATATATTGACTACTAAGCAACAACCGTCAACGCGCATAAACATTTGTTTACTGACAATGCACATCACCCCGCCCCATACAATAGTAGCAGAGTGCGTTGTGTCGGGTAGACAAGAATTTTTTCTTGTCCGGCGTACACGGTTCATGTGTAGAAACGACACAAATTCTTGCATGGACCCGGCGACTTTTCTTAGCGTGGACACGCGCCCTTATTCTTAGACTTGTTACAAAAATTTAAACTCATCTTTATTGCAACCAAGCACCCATGAAACTATTAAGAACATTATTTTTTCTTTGTTTCTAGTACCAAATTGAATATTTAGCTTTTGTTCAAAAAACGATCCTTCTAATAACTAAACAAAGACCGGATCGCAGTTGGATAGTAACATATGCCGGTTACAATAGTCATTTATATTCCCAAGGTCAACAATCAGGCTGGGAAGCGACGGGTGGGGCCACAGGCATCCCATCGGGTCGGTCGAGGGTCGGAGGAGCTCCAAGATCGCTGCTCCTGGCAATGCATGAGTATACCAGCATCACTGATGAACTGGAGACTGTGTACGGATTGTTCTCTCCACCACATACGCCAAGGTAAGTTATATTATTGTTTGCGATAATAAAAAACGCATCTACGGTGTATTTGTCGTCATTTGTTTCTGGCGTATTGCCGGCACTAAATATAGTTTATAGAGGACTGTATCAATGGGTTCAGATGGTGCTATCAATGAATGAGCAAGCCCAATGTAAATGTACTTTCAGTTTGTTACAAAACAACGCACTGCTATCTATCAAAACAAATACAATAGTAAAGAAAAGGCGCCAAAAAAACAATCACATTTAAATTTTGAATTTAAATATAAAACTAACTTACTGCGTTATTATTCTAAGCTTACGAGACTATAAAATATATACAAAAGAGATTTGTTGTGATTTATGTGATTCGCTACACTTTTAAATAATTTTCCGTTAAAATCAGATAGTGAACATTTTTCCGGAAAAATGTCTAATAAAATGGAAAAATTTAAAAATATTAGAAAAATATAATTCGAGGGCTCATATTATGTTCTTCATTATAAAATAAAATTGTATATCTTAAAAGGAACTGAGAGAAAAACATCAAAATAAAACCTTTATAATGGCTCCATCGTTTTCGTTCAGTAACATCAACTTTTGATAGGTGTCAACGTCAAATGTGGAAAATATCAAGATTTTCAGTTAAAAATATTTACTTTTTTTTATATTTGGAAATTTTTCCATGAAACACAACCACTGAAAATTACCAGTTTTACCAACTATTTGCTCATTAACTCTTCAATTTGTCATTGCCTTAAACTATTATATGTTGGCGCCTCTGGTTCTTTTACGCAACTGCTCATTTTAGATGGCATCATTTAAAAAACCTTTGAACTATTCCATATTCTTTTCAAAAACGTGTAATCCATGTTTTAACATCGTCCAGAACTCCGATAACGTCTCGCCTACTGTCACCTCGCGCCGCGTCGCCGAGCGTGCGCCGGCGCCACGCCAGCGAGATGTCCAACCCGGAGTTCGCGCTTTACATGGAGAAGGAGCATTTGCGAGGCGCCGAAGAAGATGATTACATTATTATGGAGGATTTGATTCAGAGGCGGTTAGTTCTACTGATATCTTTTTTGTCCACTACCAGCTTAGTGGTGGAACAAGTATAATGCATTTAATTGTACTTACCGAAGATTATTTATCTGTGTATAGCATAAAGCATTTCTCCAAAACAGCTGCTAACTTTGAATGATTGATATACTGCTTAGGAATCACTTCAGAGCAAAATGGAATATTTTTCAACAGAAAGCAGTATTTTCCCAAGTTGTAGTTAAATTACAGAATAAAATGAAAATGATAAATTAATAATAATAATAACACACACAGATACACACTCAACATAGCCCCGCACTAGAAAAACCCTGTGTTGCACACGTAGCTGTGGACACACGTAGACAACCACAAATTATACCCAAACTCACGAGAGAAATAAATATAAGCCATATAAATATTTCTCCCGGCCCGGGAATCGAACCTGGGACCTCTGCGTGGTAGTCGATAACCGTTCGGCTACGGGAGCAGTTGGAAATGAAACTATTTTTTTGGGATCGAAAATTGCGTATATTTGCTTTTCAAACAAACCAACATTTAGAGCTCTTTACTCCCCACGTCGTTACGTTCCAAATCGTAGTCAGTGGTGATCACGGGACCTGTAAAGAGAAGAGACGTTTGTTTGTTTGAGAAACCCAATGTACACGATTTAGGTCCGAACCACGAAAAACTCAGAATTCAGTAAAAGCAGCAAAGATTTTTAAACAATACAATATACTAACTTAACGATAGGAACTCGAATATTTATTTATTTATTTATTTATTAGATGTACAAAACAGTTTACATTCACTCCTTAACCAAAGCTTAAACATTACTACTAGTTCTACTCTTGAATGTAAACCTAAACATGTACATACAGCATGACCAATCATGAGTAAACAATATTGTTTGAAATATAAATTATTTGTAAATTAATATAAAATACTTAGGCATAAATAAAACTATAACCTTAAATAAAAAATAATTACTATGACTATAACCATGAAAGAGAGAAACCGTGGTGGTTGTGGATCCGATTTCGAAATCTTTTAACATTACCATCAAACATATCCATCCCTAAATCATCGCCAGGGTCAGCCATAAGGTCATTGTAGGCCCGACACATTCTCGTCAAAGGGTTGTAAAAAGAAGTATTATTAGTATAAACATTCAATACGAATGGTCTAGGAAGGCGTCGTGGATTGCACTTGATGTTAAAATTAATATGGGACAGAAGCGTTGACGAGTTAAGGCTGCCGTGAAGCAATTTATGTAAATGTAGAAGATCCTGTACCCTACGTCTTGAATTCAAGGGCATAACCTTAAAATGGGATAACCTCTCTTCGTAACGCGACAATTTGCGACCCATGTGTGATCTGTAACTTACTATTTTGAGAGCTCTGTTCTGTACGCCTTCCAAACGTTTAGAGTGAACCTCGTAAAAAGGTGACCATACGACACAGGCATACTCAAGAGTGCTTCTAATTAAAGTATTAAACAGTGTAATAAGGGTCTTGGGGTTTTTAAATTCTTTAGTAGTTCTAGTGACAAATCCCAACATTTTGCAAGTTTTTGATACTAGAAAATTATAATGATCCCTAAAAGTAAGCCTCTCATCAAAGTAAACGCCCAAGTCTTTAGCAACCGACTTTCTCCGAAGCGATGCACCCTCGATAACGTAATCAAAGTATACTTTGTGTCGCTTGTTAGTAAAGGACATAATAAAACATTTATCGACGTGTAGGTACATGCAGTTCTGTTTGCACCATTCCGCAATCGTGGTAGCATCCCTCTGCAAAGAAACGCAGTCACCACTATTCTCTACCTTGTTAAATACTTTAAGATCATCGGCATACAGGAGACAAGAGCAGGTTAGCTTAGTGACCAAGTCATTTATAAAAATTATGAAAAATAATGGTCCCAGGTGAGAACCCTGGGGCACTCCAGATTTGATTTGGATAGCACTGGATTTGAGACCCTTGACGGCAACCAGCTGACTGCGATTCATCAAATACGAACTCACCCATCTTAAAAGACTACCATGAACTCCGTACCATGAGAGCTTACGACAAAGCAGCCTATGGTTTACTTTGTCGAAAGCTTTCCGGAAATCGGTGTATATTGCATCCACTTGTCCACCTTTAGCAAAAGCTGAACACAGGTACGTTTTATATTCGAGTAGGTTTGATACAGTAGATTTACCTTTCACAAAACCATGTTGCTGATCTACGAGTGATGACTTCACATGAAAGTAGATATAATCATACACAACGGACTCGAATACTTTGGCAACACACGATAAAATGCTTATGGGTCTATAGTTCTCACAAACAGACGGATCTCCTGATTTATGAATAGGAATGACATGCGCTAGTTTCCAAACAGATGGAAAAGTCCCAGTGACGAGGGATTCGTTAAATATTAGGAGCAAGGGAATGCTGAGCTGAGATGCACATTCTTTGAGGAATTTTGGAGGTATTGCATCCGGTCCCGCACCTTTGTTTTGGTCTAGTGATTTTAACTTATTCGCTATATCCTTCTCTGTCAATGTGATGTGAGATAGTACATTGTTACATAGTGGTGGAAGATCTGAAACTGACAACTGAGGACAGTCCTCGAAAACCGATCCAAAGTACTGAGAAAACAACTCACAAATCGCCAATCCATCCGATGCAGAGATGTCTCCGAGTTTCATGGTACTAGGCATCCCAACCTTGGCTTTTTTGTTATTTACAAAACTCCAAAAAGCCTTAGGGTTTCTGTTAATGGCTCCCTCAGAGGCCGACACGAAATCTTTGTAGCACTGATCTAAAAGAGTCTTACCTCTTAGTCGCAATAACGAAAAGGTATCATAATCTCTTGGGTTCCCAAACATTTTATACTTCCTATGAAATTTATGTTTTTCCTTTAGGCATAATTCTAGAGCGGGTGAGAACCAGGTGGGATAAGAGTAATTTAGAGATCTTTTCAGGGGGACATGCCTGAGAATAACCTTGCTTATCACAGAGTAAAAACAATCAACTTTTGAATCGACATCAGGACAGGATAATTCATCGGCCCAATTTATTTGATCAAGTTCTAATCGTATTGCGTCATAGTTACATTTATTGAAATTAAAACGTTTATTATGCTTAGGTTTTATATTCTTAGGTTTTTGTAAATTATCTTTGATAGTTATTTCTAATGAAGGATGATGCCGATCCTTGCGAGTTAATGGAGTGGCTTCAGTAATTGTAATATTCCTAGAAGTAGATGACAGTACTAAATCTAATGTACGTCCAAGGTCGTTAACAATGCGATTAAATTGATGCAAGTTACAAAGAGACATGCACTCATATAATAGTCTTGACTTTCTATCAGAGGGACTGTTAGGTATTAGGTACGAATACGGTGGACTAGCAGGTGACCAGGATAGGCTAGGTACGTTAAAGTCCCCCAGTACGATACAAGTGTCATATGTCGGCATGTAAGTTATAGTTTTAAATAAATTATCATAAAATCGCTCAAGATTCTCGGAAGGCAAGTCCGGCGGTAAATAGCAAAGACATACGTGAGTAGCAATGTTAGACTTATCCTTAAAGGAAATAGTGATCCACAAATCCTCAACTTCACTCTCCCAGTCCTTATGACAGATTACATTTAGTTCTTTTTTAACGGCAATCAGCACTCCGCCACCCGCGGTCTTACTGACGCTAGTAGATTCACGATCTCTCCGATAAATATTATAACGAGAATCAAAAAGCTCTCCATCAAATATGGTGTTGTTTAAATTGGTTTCAGTAAGACAAATGCAATCGTAATTACAGTTTAGTACGTTGAGGTATAATTCTGTGGTTTTAGATCTAACTCTATTAACATTTTGGTAAAAAACTAACATATTTAAATACAGATAAGATATTCAAGTAGATACATTAAGCAAAAGGTTTAAAAAAAATAAAAGGGGAAAAATTACTTAAGTTTACGTAGTTCGTTAACATTTCTAATATGTATTGCAGAATCGTTATCAGATTTTCTTATATAGATGCGTTCGTATTTCACCCAGACATATTTGTAGGAGTGCTCTGCTGCAAATTTACGTGTTTCGGCATGAAGTTTCTTCGTTGCAGGAGACATATGCTCAGCTACATATATATGCTGTACATCACCCTGGACTCCCAGGTGCGATGAATTAAGTTTGTTTGAAGTATTCGCTTTATTATAACGTCTTACTGCAGACAGCAGGCCATCTCTTAAACGCTCTGACTGTAGGGTCAGAAGAATATTACGCGGTCTGTGAGAACTAGGATCTAGCTTAGCAACGCGACGGACGGCACGGACATCACTGACCTCAAAGTTAAGTTTCACAGTATCGTACAGCTTCATAACAATGTCTAAAACGTTTTCACTACGTCTCTCAGGGAGCATCTGAATCTCCACATTGTGGCTACGGGATATTTTCTCGACAGTTGATAATCGGCGTTCCAGGTTTGTGTACTCCGTCTCAAGAATGGCTCTCTCAGATTCCAAAGTTCTAATTTTAGTATTGGCTTGCTCAAGATCCGTCTTTATGTCAGATTGCCCTTTCTGTAAGAAGTCCGTCGTTTCACTGAAATCATTCTCCATTTTATTCAATTTGCTATTAATTTCTTTCATGACAGTAGAATGAACCTCGCGTGCAACGTCTATCTTAAAAACTTCAAGCTTACGGTCTAAAAGAGCTTCAAATTGTTCCAGGGTAATAGTGTTATCACGACTGTTGGATTGGGATGATGGGGCAAGCGTGGCTGCTGGTTGCTTAGAAGTTCTATTAACGGAAGATACACTATTAGGTTGCAATAGGCGGGGTCCATGCTGTGCCAGTGAAGCTAACGAAGTTTGCGGTCCCTCGTCATCGCACGACATAGCTGAAATGTTTGCTTTTGCCTTAGGGGGCGAGTGTAGACTGTATTTGCGCACAGGGGTGTTATCATTTTTCGCTGAACGATGAGTAATATTTGAGCACATCGGACAGAACCAACTACGTTTCTTACGGACATACTCAGCGAGGTAAACATTTTTATTCATATTACAGCATTCATAGTGAAAAATGTCATTACATCCAGAGCATACCATTAGGCTATCATCTTCTACTGGAGATTTACAAGCATTGCAATCCATGATGATAAAAAAAAAAAATCACAGAATGTTTACGTCGCGTCGTAGATATAGCTAGCTTGTTACAGGTATTAACACTGTGACTCCGAGAGGCAAGACTTTGTAGGCATAAATGAGGGAAAACTACTCTTAACTAATCTTTGACGCTAGTGACGTTATCGCTGCGGAGACACGTTGCTGGTCGGGCGCACGCGACTTTCACCCGTCCACAATGCACGAAACCGTGAGATTTGGATGCACTCTTGCAACTGGTAGTGAATACTCACTGGTCAGCTGATTTTTCTATTGTTTGAACATTTCTTGAGATTACACCAATAAAACTTAATCACTTCACTTGTATAGTATTGAATTTAAAAAGTTTGTAATTTTAATTATGTTTTCGTGATAATTTCAAAACAGAAACTATGATATTTCCAATGCTTTAGAATAAAATATTTAGCCACGACGAACAAAAGATGTCAACTCGATAGTCGCTCGGTCAAAGATCTTAAAAGAATATTAACTGATAGGAAGTCGAATCTTCTATACAGATACAGCGAGGACGGAGAAGGGCCTGAAGGCGGGGAGGAAGCTGAAGCGAGTGGCATCAGCATTTGCGTCTGTGTCAATACGAGTGGAGAGCAACAGCAACAGCAGAATCAACAGCAGCCCAGCCAGAGCAGTGGGTTGCTCACCGTCAGCGATGGTAGGCGACTGGTGCATCAGAGGTAAGTATTTAAAACTCACTGTTTATTCAATTACCTTCTTTCTTTTACTCTCCTGCAGAAATCGCCCAAACGCGCCACCACCCGTCTACTTTTTCTACGGCAAACCACACTGCTCCTTTTCGAATTAAAGAGTAGGGAGCATTAGCGCAATATAAAGTATAGGAAAGTTACGGTTATTATTAAATATTACCTAGTAGCAGTAATCCTCCTTGTGAAAGAGTTCGTCTTGAAAAGTACTGCCACCTTACCTATTTCTGCTGCACAGCAGTAATGTGAGCATTATTGCGTTCCGGTTTTGAAGGGTAAGGGCGCTGGTGAAATTAAAGGTGCATGGGACTTGTCAACTTAGGTCTCAAGGTGACGGGCGCAGTGGCAGTGCCCCTCAGATCTTTGTGTTTTAAAGCTCTGTGTGACACTGCAACTTGGACGGGCGTGTTGCTTACCGTCAGGTATACCACTTGTTCATGTGACTTGGTATCATACATTAAAAAAAATGTTTCTCCATTTGCGATGAAGAGACCCCCCGCACAAGCGTCCTTCGAGCGTAAGCGTTTTGCCAACGCACGCGCAGCGGCGACACGACGTCCGCTCGACCGTGATGCAACGCCAGCACGGCGTATACCCGACGTTCGGCACTATTCAGCAGTCGCTCAGTGCTGGATTGTATTATGCTCTCGCCACACCGAGGCGGCCGCGGGTGCGTTCCGGGCGCGGGAATTTTTATAATTTTAAACGGTCCGAGACCGGGTCTTTAGTGGGCTTTGACGTTGTATTCTTTTACAACTCTTGAGTGTGGATTTATTATGTTCCAATATGAATTCGATCGATTGTTTTTTATGTTGCTTCCTTAATGCTAATAAAAGCAGAAAATTGTCTTCATCGTTAGGTATACGACAGCGATGTGGTTTTGTTCTTTAAAATCTGTGTTGAATAATTTACGTGGCCGCATTTGGTGTCACACTGGCCGCCGTCGAATCACTATTCCACCGCGAACTACGCTTGGATCTGCTGTGTGGCACGCCACGGTACACGTTCACTTCCCGCAGGTCCGCCCCCGGAGCGCTTTTCCCGCTGTGTGGCCTGAACTTTACCGTGGTGCTGGCGTTGAGACGCCGCGGACGTCTCTATGCGTGCGTTGACGAAACGCTGGCACTCGAAAGAGGCTAGTGTGGCGGGTCTCGAAAAGAAGACTTTTCAATATATCTTTCCACATTTAAATGTATGTTTTTTTCTCATAGGCACTCACTGCGTAGATCGTCAGCTATAGATAGCCGCGAACTGCCGTCACCTCTACAACCTCTCTTGGATGAGGATAACTGCGGTGAAGTCCTGCTGCCGGTGCCCAGACAGCCTTCTGGTAAGACATTTGCGTATTACCCAACTTACGCGTCACTTACCTGGCCCATACAAGCCATTCGTAATACCTATGTCTAACTCACACAGATACATCATATAACATAGGTCGCTGCGTTTAGGAAGTAAAGTGCAGTTAGAAAAGTGTAATAGACACTTATTATAAAAACTAGGTAATGTAGAAGCTTGTCTAAGCTGCAAGCTTTAATATTTAATTAGTTTTTTTTATTTATTCGTTTAAGGCCTGAATTAACCCTTATAAAATATACCTTAAGGACTAACATACATACAATATAATATAACAAAATAATTAAGTAAAAAAACAATCTGATACTAATATTTTAAATTTATATTATTATTTAATTTATATTAAATAATAATATAAATTTAAAACACTCAGAAAAAATTCCTTCGATCCGGTCGGATTCGAACCGACGTCTTCTTGCATACCGTGCCAGACGCTATACTAACTAAGCCACGGAACGAACCAACGGACCTCATGAATTCTTCTATGTGCTTGCGTCGTGTCTTTGTACTTGGTCTTTCAACGACTTTTTAGTCGTAGCGCCATCTATGAGAAATCTATTACAGATTTATTTTATAATTATAACAAACTAGTGGAGTAATTTCACAAAAAATAATTGAATATCAATTCAATAACAATTTAATTATGTGAATATAATTGTCAAGCCCTACTGAAACCATAAATGTTCTTAAAATTCATTGTAATAGTTATAAAATAAAAGGAGAGCAATAAAATTATTGAGTATTGAGTATTGAAGCAGGCTGACTATCGCCAATCTCACGAAATCGAGGTCCGTATATTTTGGGCTCCATTAGGTGTCCTAATCTTTATATAGTTTGGGTTAAGTAATCTCCGGATCAGACACAACATTCCATTCATAAAAAATATCTCCCAAAAGCGGAAACCAACGCCTCAAGCGAGCTGTCCCTCTCGCACATGGTGAGCGAGAACCTGCCCCCTCGACCCTCGATAGTGTTGGACTCGTCGCAGCTGCCTCGCCAGCGTTCCACTGAACAGCAACCGCCGCAGCCGCAGCCGCCGGCGCCTGCGCGGCCTGAGACCATGTGCTAGAAGGATTGGTAAGTCGAAAGCTTATAAACACACACACGTCGACTTATCGGCTAAGTCGAAATTACGGTCAATGTTTAAGAATTACCCACTATAGAAAACGAAAGAAACCCTGTTATGCCCGTCTTATGGTGAGATCATTCAAAAATAGAAAACATTAATGTTAGAATGATTACCAAATAATTAGCCGAATTGAACGAAATTACATTCCGAACTATAACCCTGGCCAAATTCGATGTAGAATAAATGTCAACAAACAAAAACATATGATTTTCACGGTTTTCACCTCAGACTGTGTTACAGTTACCAAAATTTCAATATTTTTCCCCAAAATTCTATTAGGCTATTGATAATTTAACCTTGAAGTTTTGTCTTTGATGAAGTTTGTTCAAAAGAAGTTTCAAACCAACATAAAAAATACCTGTAAATAATTAGATAGATAGATAATAAATACACTTTGTTGCTCGCACACAAAACAGAAACAGTACATAGACAACTTAGAATTAATGTGGGCAAAGGCGGCCTTACCGCTGAGAGCGATCTCTTCCAGGCAACCTTTGAGGCAGAGGAGAACTGAACAGAGAGGGAGACGTAGTGTGCCAGTGATAAAAATTTAAATAAAAAATAATTATTTGTAAAACTGTATAATACCTAGTGATTTTATTTGAAGGGAGAGATTGCAAACATTTCTAGTTCGAGTAGTAGTTCAACTTCAGAATCGGAAATTAATATGTAGTAAATTAAAAATATAAAATATTTTTTTTATAATTTTTGTTTCTTTTCATCTTCCCTTACCTTCCATTACATTACTATATCTGGCAATAAATATTAACAAGATTAAAAAAAATATTATGACTTATCTATTTAAATTCCAATCACGCGAGCAGGCCGTGGGCAGAGTTATCCTAAATAATGAGCATTGACTATTTGTTGTGACATATTCTTCTCGCCTGCTATTGTTGGTTGCCTAGCAACATTTTTTAATTAAACATTCTATATCGAAATTGGTTAGAGTATAGTTATAATGACATTACGAGTATGACATTTTAAAAGGGGTCACTGATAAAAATAATGAGCCATTAATCGGTACTTATGGTTGGTAGGTTTTTCAGTAAAGATCAAAGTTTTTCTATTTCATATAGCTTTTTCAATGTGAATTCGTCGTCTAAACTATGTTTAGGTAACAAAGTATTGAAATACTTACTTATTAAATATATTATAACTTATTTATATAAAAAGACCTCAAAAATTCGTGGAATACATCTATTTGCCAAGTTTTGTTGAAATTGGTTACCGGAAAGCGCGCGAAGCCGGATTCGTCCCTTACTTGAGTCCACCTCTAAGGATGGCAAACTAATTTTCTTCAAATTTAAATGAGACCAATACTGAGGTACCCTCTTTTCAACAAAAAAAGAAACCTTAAAATCGGTTCACACATGCCGCAATCGCCTAACATACACATACAAAAAAACAAGCAGTCGAATTGAGAACCTCCTCCTTTTTTGAAGTAGGTAAAATAAAATGGATTCAACATTTTGTTTACATTTAAGTATCATTGATTTATATCAATTAATTTCTTTTATAGGTACCCATCCAGGACCAACAGCTCCATCATAAAAAATTCCAAGTAATTTTTAAATTACAATAAAGTTAGGAAAACCAAATAATTATGAAAAATATTAAAATCAGTACTGACGACGAGTATTAGCTTATATGTATAAATAGAAACACCAAAAATTACTAATATAATTATACTGTTGAAGTTTTAAACATTTTGAGGCAGTTTTCATAAGCTGACGTAGTTTTCGTTGTACAATTAGCTACAAAACTTATTGAACAGACGTAATCATGGACGAGCAAAAATGAAATTACTTTCAACTTTCAATGTCGCTGTGAAATAACTTCGATAAGTCAATAATTAAAATATAGTTATAATTATTAATACAAAGATCCAACACTTAGAAAAAATTCCTTCGATCCGGCCGTATTCGAACCGACGTTTTCTAGCAAACCGTGCCAGACTCTATGCCAACTAAGCCATGGAACGAACTAACGGACCTCACGAATTTTTCTATGTGCTTGCTTATTATGTTGCTTGACGAAATACTTTCATACATTTCTCATACGTGACGCTACGGCTAAAAAGTCGTTAAAAACCAGATATAAAGATCCGACAGACAAGCACATAGAAAAATTCGTGAGGTCCGCTGGTTTGTTCCGTGACTTCGTTGGCATAGCGTCTGACACAGTTTGCTAGAAGACGTTGATTCGAATTCGGTCGCGTCAAAGGAATTTTTTGTAAGTAATTTCACAAAAAAATAATTGAATATCATGGTTGCGAAACATCCTGACATTTAATAAAACACTTAAAATATAGATATTAAAATATTTATTAATGATACCAAACTGTCATGAAAATGTTAAAATGTTTTTCTATTTTCATAACTTCTATTCTGTACTCCTAATCATAAATAACGTAATCGACATGACAGGGATAACGAAATCTACGCGATTTTCGTTCAGAAGGGCAATTTTGGAAATTCCTTTTGATATTATTAACCATTTTCTTCGACGTAAATTTCTTTACGCAGGATTATTGTCTTAATATTGAGTTGGTACCTGAGCTGAGATCAAACTGAATTTTATAAAAAGGTCGATAAACTGCTCTTTCATTTATAAAATAAAGAATAGGTCGAACTAACGCGTTCAGTCTACAATCGCTTCTATAATTTCGGTTACTTACATCTATAACGATACACATTTTTATTTCTAATATACTAATAACGCGTAGTAAGGGTAATGCCAGACGAACGTAATTTAGTGAGTTGTGAGTCGCGTAATTTACGCTACATTCGGTTTCATATTAAAGTTCGGTTTATGCCACACGATGACGTTAAATAAATTCTGTACCGACTCACGCGCGTAATTTTTTTTTAATAATATTAAGTGACGGGACAAACAAGTCGTGCGCCTGATGGTAAGCTACACGCCTGTGCATAACACTTGCAGTGCCACTCCGAGCTTTAAATCGCAAAGATCTGAGGGGCACTGCCACTGCGACGGTCACCCTGAGACATAAGTTGACAAGTCCCATGTGCTTGTAATTTTACCAGCACCCATACCCTTCAAAATCGGAACGCAGTAATGCTCATATTACTGTTTGGCGGTAGACATAGGTAAGGTAGCAGTACTTCCCAGGACGAACTCTTTCACAAGGAGCTCTACTGCTACAAAACTTACGACAGAACTTCGACCGCACTGTGTGACGTGTTTGGGAAGGTGTAGGGATGAATGAGGGAAACATTTGTTGGCATGTAGTAAGTACCTTGCACATCTGGATGTTCACAGAAACATTCATGCATAGTATATGAAACTGCCTACACTTTAATCTTTTCATACTGACTGAATGTACCCAGCTTCTTTTTCTAACATTATTTTCTAATACTGTATAAATGTACACTACATTTAATGGATCAAACACCCCGTACAAATGTTTAAAAGTAACTTAATAAAATACATTCATCAGGCGTCCCAACCGAATATCAGTCGAAAGTAAACTACGACACTCAAAAAACGCGACTTACAGCTCACAAAATGACGATGGTCTGGCCTCATCGTAAGACGTATCTGGACGCGCTGGTTTCACTAATTTTGGGCTAAGAGCCCAGCTACACGGTTGAGCCTTTAAGGCTATAATGACTGGATTTAGACAATTGCCTGCGGACTGTCCTTCCGTGTGATCTTTGTAGACTGAAATCAATTCTATTCTAAAACTTATCATATCGAAGTCGCTCTTGGACTGCAACGCTTTTTTTCATCATGAAAATATTATCATTCATGTTTATAGGAAGATAATTACAAATAATAAACATTTAACACCTTGACATTCATACTTGTTATGCCACACAGCAAGTGGTTGAATGTGGAAGTGGTTATAGAAGGCGAGTCCCTCCCTTATTAAAAAAATAAACGAAAGCATAACGTAATTTAAAAATGGCGTCCAAAGATGAACGCACATTTATGAGCAGTAGTATTATATAGTTATTAGTTATATGAAACTTCAGTGTGAGACTATTATCTTAACTTCCCAATGAATTGTCTTCTAAAATTTGAAACTTATAACGCTGTATATAAACGCAAAATTTGTATTCTATCTTTAAACACTTGGTCCAAGCATGCATTTCATACTTATATTATGATAGAATGTTACATAATACGCAAAATAAGTAACTTGACGCCCAAATGTAAGGAACTTATTTTGAAATTTATTTTTAACAATTATTTTGTATAAAAAAAAGAGAAATGTAGTCTTTTCGAAATGTATTGAAATTAATTTCATTGGCTCGATTGTATGTACAGTAAGTGTTCTAATTTTTAGTTAAAAGAATGAATATAAGTCAACCGGCTCGCGTTGTTCAAATAGTAATACAGCAAACAATAAAACCTTTATCATTATCCATATCAAATATTTACATTATCATCTTTATTTATATATGAACTCTACAGAATCATTAATAGATAATTAACCTGTAGAATATTAATATCACGAAAACCGTTACACATAAGTACATGTTTAGATGTAAATCAAGTAAATTATTGTCTATGGTCGACTAGTCTCATGAAAAAGTTTCTAAATCTGACATCTCTGTTGGAAGGTAGTTTTGTCGAAATATTTTACATGAGACTCGTGTTGATTTTTAAAGCGTGAAACACACACCGTTAACCGCAGCGACAATGGTTATATCCACATTATAATAAGATAACTATGGTAACACACACACACGTTCGCATAATAATGAAAAGCGCGTGACGACCAGCGCTATACAACGCGAGTGCATCGCGGAATTATGCTAATGTGTGCGTCCGTACACGGCACGCGGAGGGCGCGCACACATTCAAACCGCGATATTACGTTTGCATAAAGTTACCATGATACTTATCTATTATACTTTGTTATAATAACTTTTTTACTAGCTTATGACTGGATTGTATATAAACCGTTGGAGTGACATGCTATTACAAACTTATAAGCAGCTTTATCGCGATGGCGATACGAGTGTGTGCTTTGCGCCTTAGGTATACTAGTGAGATGTCAAATTGTAAAGAATAATGAAAAGTTTTTTCGAAACTAAGGAGAGACAATCGACAATACAAGTATAGTGCTCACGATGTAAATAAATCCTGTTGTCAGAGTTACGTAGAGTAGAGCAAGCTGTATTACAATATTGAAAATTCGCTTTAACTTAAATTTTCAATACGTTACATATCTAAAAAGTTACTTAATATTGTTTTTCGAGCTTCATTTAAAGTTGTTTTGATAAAATTCAATAATTATAAAGGTGTACTTACTTATTTCAGTGACAGTATTTTGCCAAAACATATATCAGACGTTATCCATATATCAGACGTTATCGGAACTGAGGTAGAATGTAGTTTTAAGAATCGTATTTTTAAAATTCTTATTAATAATAAGTACTTAATGTACGAATGCGAAATTTCGTTAACAAAAAAAATTAAATTATGTACTTATTTAATAATTATAATACCTGCCGACAGAGTGAGATATTTATTTAAATGATTAATAATGAGCACTTCCCGTCTTTTCTGGATAAAATCATTTATATATTGGCTAAAAATGTCGTCACTTGTTTCTCTGATTACCGTATCGGACGCATTACCATGAACTCTTGTTACAGTTTAGTATAGGTTCGTAACGACAAAAAGCGGAATGTGATGTACACTTCTTGTAGCACTGTCTCACAACGACTCATTTTGTATCCTAAACTGAATTGTAATAAGAATTCATAGTAAGACCCCAGCCACCAATCGCAGTATATCTACCTTTTTGATATATATAACTATAATTCGATAATTTTGCCGCGAACAATATATGCTCTAAAAAATTATGTAATTCTAGTTAGAGCATAATATAATATGACAAGTAATGCAACTCCCCAATCGTCAATGACTACACTTCGCTTGGAGTATAGCGTTGTCACATTATTATTTTAATTGTACCTACAAGTTATAAACATTTGTCAAATATAGTATTTATTTATTGATTTTTTATACCTACATCGCGGATTAGTATCTTGATTATGGGATAGAATAGAGGATAGGATCATGAAATAGAAATGAAATGCGAGTTTGTATGTACACGCATGACACAAGATACCCCTACCATGAACACTAGCCAACATTATTTTTTGGTAATTTTTTGTTATTTTTGGAAGCAGCCATATTCATTTACTAATATTATGCTCACCGAATTTTGTGGAAAAAATTTACAAACAAAAACCAAAATTCGAAAACAACAAAGGAGAAAACGTATTTTGTGAATAAAAAAAACAGAACAGGTCCAAAAATTAAGCTGGCGTAGTCTTCATTAGAGGTATCGTTTTGGTTCTGAGCACGTAAATATGGAAAAAAGTGTTATATTGTATAACACTTTTTTATCTAATCTTTATCTAAGCCGTTAAGTTCATTTTGGTCTGACTTCCTGATCTTGTCATTAATGAATAACTATGTGGATCTTTAACGTATACTTTTAATTTAAATGCAGAATGCAAATTTCAACTTGCAATAGTAAGGCCGTCGTGGTCTAATGCTTTAAGAAAGTCAAATTGAAATAGAATTGTAAAAACTTAAAATTGTGATTTGTCAACGTTAACATTTTAAAGTGAAACAATCCCCTTAAAAAATCATATTAAACAAAAAGTGTGCTTGTGGAATTCAATTGGCATAAATAAGTTGCAGTCCATACACCAAGCCACTTGACCAATTGACATGGATGTTCAATGACGAAATTTAGTATTGGCTTTAAAATATAAGTTGGTAATCTTAAAGCAACGTATAGCCTATAGAATAAAGCTCTTTAACATATAAGTCTCTCAGAACCAAAAGATCGGTTTAGGGATATTGGGGAGGGGCCGGTATCTTGTGTAATAGAATATAAACAACAATACATTTATGAATCAAAAACTATAAATTTGGCACAGAAAAATATTTT